CTTGGCGGCCGCCAGTTCAGCCACCTCTTAGCCATCCCTCGGCGCGTCAGCGGCTCTTGTGTTCACGGGGTGATGGGTAGGGAGGGGACGGGGCAGATCCTGCAATACAACAGGTAGAGGGTTGAGGATCCCCAAGGTGCAGCTGTTCTCCGACACCCAGGCAGAGTGCTCCTGGTGCCACTGGGTGAGACCTGTCCTCGGGGTGATGTGCACTGGAGCTGCGATCCCTCCCCTGAGATCAGCAAGCCCTGAAGCTCGGGGAAATTCCCTCAACCCCCCACGTCCCGGTGTCCCCCAGTCCCCAGAGGGATGATGCTGCCCAGCAAACCTTCAGCTGAAGAAGAAATTTAAATAAAGCACAAAAAACCCAACCCCTCAGACAACCAAAATCGAGCCCTGCCACCCCACAAAGCAAGGACATTTCTCCCACCTGCCATTAGCAGGACAAAATCTCAAGATCCAACATCTTGCCGAAACATCTTAAAATTTCCCCTCCCACTATCAACTTCCCCTGTTGGGAGGGAGCTGTTTCTGCTCCTCCCTTCACCTGGCACCCCTAAAACAACCCGGTGTGGGAGCATGGCCCCCCACACCCAAGCACACCCTCGCTCAAAGCAAGCTGGTGGATTCAGGCTTCAGCTATTCCTGGGCTGGGGATTCCTGGGCATTTGATTTCTCTGCTGGGGTTTGTAAACCCAAAATCCCGTGGTTTTGGGGGAGGAAAGAGCCTGCTGGGGCCAGCCGGGGCCAAGGAGGTGCGCACCAGCTGCGCTGGGGACCAGGGGTTCCACCATTTGAATGATGCGGCGCCCAGCGGGCACAGAGAGGGGGAGGCGGGAGCACGAGGATGGAGGGGAACCACCTGCCCTGCTCCCGCAAAACAGACTTTCTCCCCAAAAAAATAAGGCTGAGGGCAGCGACAGCTGGTTCAGTCGGTTGGTCCCCGGTGTCACCACCCAGCCCCTGCAAACTCCTGTGCCCGCAGCAAGGGAGATCCCGGCAGTGCCGGCTTGGGGCGGGGTGGGCAGGTGGATTAAAAAGGGATGAGAATAAAAATAATAATAAGAAGAAGAAACATCCTTCCCGTGCAAACCTACTGCTCCTGACAGTCGGCTTCACCCCAGCAGCCCAGCTGAGCCTACAGTGCTGTCCCACGGGCCCATCCCACCGCCCTCCCCAGCGAGCCCACCGCTCCCTGCTGCCTTCGCTTCCTGCGCCCCCCGCCGCCAGTGCCTTACCCCGTCCCGGCGATGTCCCCCAACTTCCCAAGTTCACAAAAGAGCAAGAAACTTCTGGAAAAACAGAAGAAAGGGAGCAGGGAAAAAAAAAAGAGGAAGGGAAAAAAAAAAAAGGGAAAAAAAAAAGCCCCAAAGCCCCTGCCCTAGGGAAGGGGGGCGAGGGGGAGAATTTTCGGTGCCCCCCCTGCGGGTGAGGGATGACCCCGCGCGGTGCCAGGCCCTGCCCGCCGAGCCGCCGTGATTTGCGGCCGCCC